GGGGCAGCGATGGATCCCTTCCCGCTGTGCAGCCACTGCCTGTCCACACGTGGATCTAAAGCCCCCGGCTGATGGGTCTCACGGCTCAGGCTGAGAGAAAGAGACCCACCAGGCCCTCCCTGCAGCACTTCCTTCAGCAATTCTCTCATGGCCTCTGATGGCTCCTGGGATTTCTTTCCATCTTTAGCTTTGTTTTTGCCTTTTGGAGGACCTGAATGAGAAGCAGTTCCATTTGACATGAATGGATTACAGAAAACCAGAGCTCACCCTGTGAGGTCAGTAGAGACAAACTACTCACCCCTACGATGTGAGCCAGCTTTGCGCAGAGGAAGCAGCCCAGAAGCTGGAAAAGTCCTCCCTGTAACTCAACAGCCAGAGAAGATTCTGTCACCTGGCTCTTGCCATGTTGTCAATTATTATTCTTTGAGCACACATTGAGAATTACCTGCAGGTGACCTTAAGGGACCCAAAGCATCTTCCATCCAAGCTGCTGGAGAAGCATTCCCAGTGTCCTCATCTAGAAGCAAACAGGGATGGGAACCGTTTCCATGGCATGCTGGGATCCCCTCCTGCCTCAGAGAACTGTGGCACTGCAGGGGCTCAGGGAGCCCCGTGGGGGCCAGATGTCAATGGACATGGCCAGAGCTGCAGAGGGGCCTGGGCAGCTCTGGGCTGGCTCCTGACCGCTCTGCACACTCGTTCCAGGCCCTGTGCAACATCCCTGGGGGAGCGGCTGGAGCAGCCAAGGGCCCCTCGGGGGTGTCTCCCGGCCACAGGAATCCATCACTGAAGCTCTGGGGAAAACCTGCAGCACGCCGTGCTAAAACCACCACTCCCTGCCCCGAAACAACTCCTACAGCCCAAAGGGACAGAGTCATCATCTCTCAGAGGAAACTGGAGCCTTGCTCTCCCCATCTGCCTTTTTTCCAGCATGGGCACCCCTTGCAGCTGCTCCCAGATTTCGGGATATGTCCCTCCCTTAGGGCCCCCAGCAGGACTGCTCAGTACCCAAGTCCCCTAAGCCTGCTCGGGATAATTCATTTGTGCTGTGACGGTCTGCTCTGGGCTGGGCCAGCACTGCCAACAGCAGACACGGCAGCTGAAGCCTCAGCACGGCTCAGCCAAGAAGACACAGGAGGGCAGGAGGTTCCTTCTGAGCCCTGCCCAGGGTGGGAGCCAGGGAGCGCTCCGGCCCTCGGCTCGCGGGAGGGATCCCGCTCTGGGCTGCTCTGGTGCCTTGGGCCTCTCGAGACTCAGGGCCAGATCTGGGAGCAGCTGCAGTGGGAGGGACCTTGGGGCCACAGTCCTGTTTCCCAGGCGCTGCAGAACGTGCTCCAGATGCCTCCAACCTGTCATGCTCTCAGCTTTGGCTGCTGCCGTGATGGGCCCGAGCGGGCACTGGGGGAAGAGCTGCTGCCACACAGCCACCCCGATGGCCGACACCGGCTG